TCCCGATCTAGATATACGGCAGTCTATGGATGTTATCTTTATAGGTAGCATTTAGTCAAATATCATGTTTTATTCCCGCAAAAATAACTCTAAAACCACGCCTAGAAAACCTAACGATTCAAGTATCATACCCAGACGCGTATAATACAGAGGCTTATTTTATTTATATACGATTTTGGTCTCTATTCCCTTGGTATAAGGGATATCTATTCCTTGGGTAAGTACCAAGTGATTTGAATCATCTAAATGGTCAAGTTGCTTGAATCATACTGAATCTAGGTAGCCAGGTAATGTTCTTTATAACTAAACTATGGTAAACTTGGGTTTAGTTAAACTAAACCAAAGCACATCACTTGTACTGCTCGGTACGTATACCACTTAAAATAGTTTTATTCAATGTGCAGCCTTCCTAGTTTAAAGTTGGCTACATGAGTCCATGAATAAAAGTAGCTGATTATTTCAGATTAAAAAATATCTTATTTACTTACAACCATTTTACTATTCAACTATGTCGTTAAGTTTAAGTAGTTTAAACAAAAACAACTTGTCATCCCTCTTCCAACGATAAAGTATTGCCAGCTTAACAAATTAAGTTGTTGGAGCTTAGTCTGATAAAAAATTACATATTTCTTAACGTGGCCCGTGGTGAATGTAAGCTTTCCATTTTAATTGGAATTTTCCCGCAATTCCTGAAACTTTTAGCTCAGTGCGGAATCAATTTCCCATCCTGTAATAAGAATAGTCTAGTCGTGTCCACAAAGATGCTCAGTGGCACGATTTCTTTTCATTTAGTTGTATCGACATGCATTAATATTATAGGCATTGTATTGTGTTTTTTTAATCAAAATTATTGGGCAGAGTGGCTAAGAAGACAAAGGATACGTTTTTACATTTACCATAGGAAATACAGCATCGTGAAGCTGTTATTTTACGCTGATATTATGTGAGAGCGTGATCCTAAGAGAAGAAGAAGGTGGCAGTGGTAAGGTTAAGCTAAATGCTTATTAAACTTAAACAGCTTGATTCCAGGTCGTGCTTATTTTTTATTATTATTTTTCTTCCGATTTTCCCACTAGGCTGTATACAGTCGTTTATAAAAACATGATAGTACCTGGCCCAATATTACTTAGTAGACATAAGCATACTCATAAAAATACATATATACTTCTAGTTTAAAGGTTAAAACTGAAATACTTTTAATTATTCAATTACATATCATTCGACATGACATAATTTAGGTAATTTAGAGATATGATAAAAGAAATGTTTTACTGCAATTAATGTGAATGATATTTTATTGATGTTGGTTTTTAAAATAAATACATATGTTGGTAATTATATAAATACAGTAAAGAGTACGATACTTAACAAATTTTAAAATGTCTTTTATTGAGAGACGAATTTATACAGGATATACAATTACGTCTGCTCAATAATGAAATTAGTTTTGGTCATTTCCTGAACATATTGCAGAATTTATAAATTATTTATTAATACTAAAAACAAGATAGTTTAGTTTGGTTTAAATGCAATACATATATGATTTTTGTTTAAGTTTGTGGTTATTACAAATTAATTAATAATATGTTAAAGTATGAATATATTTTCTGTTGAACTGTACTTAGGGTTATATATTATAGAGTAGGGTTACTTTTATCAACCTGTCTAGGTTGGATAAACGAACACGCCGAGTATCCACCCTAGGGTGGATTTATTAGGGTGGATAAACGGAATAATCCACATTGATTTGTGTCGACTGTTGTAACTAGAAGCCTAAAAGGAAACAACATGCCCGTAGAATATGCCGTATTACTCAGCCACTGCCTTACATTAGGCTACCTATTGTGAAAAAAAGGAGTTCTACAAACAAGAAGCTGATGTTTCGATGGACTCACCTGTATCTCCCATTTTCGCCGACATACTCATGGAAATCTTTGAGGAGAAATCCTTGCTTACTTCTCCCGTAATTACAAGATTCTACTAGCAGTACGTAGACGCAACTTTCAAAATTCTATCTTAAGATAAAGTAACTGCATTTATAGACCATCCTAACTCCATAAATTCTAAAATTCATTTCACAATAGAATTAGAGGCAAACAATTCTTTAGCTTTTCTAGATGTGCTAGTAATTCGGATAACACTTTGAGCCACACTGTGCGTAGAAAAAAAACCCATACAGAGATATATTTAAATTGTTTAAGTGATTCTCACCATCATCATTCACATATAGGTACCGTGGGAAAATGTTTGTTTCAGACAGCACAAGGGATCTGTGATAGTAAACACCTCACCGCCGAACTCCAACACATCAAGCAAGTTTTGCATGACAACAAGCTTCAGGTCCCGCGCCTACGTCACAGTGAACGAGTGAAGCCGACCACAGTCGAGCATGTACCTGCTATGCCATATGTCAGAGGTCTCACTGACAGGATTAGCTACATCTTGAAGCGTACTTCCATTAAAACATACTTCCAGCTTCCGAAGAAGATAAGTCAGTTTTTACCATCAGTCAAGTGTAATGTCTCTCTGCAAGACGCAAGAGTGTACAAGCTTGATTGTGAATGTGATTTCTCTTACATAGGACAAATAAAACGATCAATAAAATCCCGCGTTAAAGAACACATAGCTGATGTGAAGCATCGATTAAATATAATAACACGTTTCCTATCACAGTTTGGTGTTAGTAATTAACTTTTAATTCATATACACACATCTCATTTTTAAGAGCAACTCTTCTTTCAGAACATTATAGTAACAATTTTTAAAGTGTATGTATTAACTAATTTCTGCCTGAGAGTTTGTCTGAGTAGGTATCACCCCTCTTATATAGTATCGGTGTAAATACAGGTTTTGAGGCATTCCACCTCAGTCCGTGGAGGTGACACCGACGTAACCTTTTTGTTTGAAGTTTGCTGCAAGTTTGAATCTAAATATGAAAGATTGAATCTAAGCTCTTTAGATACACTAAATTTTTAAGCAAAACAATATAGTTATTATGAATAATACTTACTATAACTAGAGAATACTTATGGTGTACAATTTTACTCAGAATTGTTAAAACCACTGCACACTTAACAGGTGAAAGAGGGTTCTAATCATTAATTATTGAAGATTCAATTCCTTCAATTAAATGAAAAAATATTGGAAATTATATATTCGATCTAAAATTGAGCCAATTAAACAAAGGATAGTCATTACGTATTCAAAAATATTATAAAGCAGTGTCAAAAACTAAAAATTTATCATTTAGTACCGAAAAATCATAGTACTATTCTGCCCCTGTTAGTCAAAAGGACACATCCAACAAAAAGGAAATTTCGAGAAAAAAATTCTTGAAATGACAAAACAGGAAAAAGCTTGCTGTGTAGTAAATATTTTTGTCATAGTGTTAATGTATATCGTAAACGTATTTATTGGAATTTTATTTTTAATAAAAAAAAAACTAAAAAAGTGTTTTATTTTAGCACAACGAATTAAATGAATCACTTCCAACTGCGTAAAAACATATACTTAGTAGGTACACTTACTTTTAACTTTTTATATCAAAAATTTAAATAAAAAATAAAATACGCTTCTGCAAAAATGTCACTTTTATTAATGAAATGAGGTTGCAATGATAAAATTATTTCTGTTTTACCTACCAACTAATTATTTAGTAATGAAAGTCTCTTTATTTTAATCAATATTTACTTACAAAATTCAAAATAAACAAGCTAACTCGGTCTGAATTTTGGTCACTGAGCAGCGCTTATAAAATTAGTAAGTATACTTAATATTTTTAAAATTTTTAATGTATTACAACAGTCAAAAATTACACGTTTTAATATAATGAAAGAGTTCATAAAATGTATTCTATAGACAGTTATAAAAAACGAGAATTTAAAACTAAAATTCCACTTAAAAAAAGTTTTGTGATACTTAAAATCTACATTTTGATGAGATCATAGGTTTCAGAGTATTGTTACAAGCATAATTAAAAACCAAAACACAAAATCACCTAAAATACACCTCAACATACATTTACATACATTTTACTCATAATACACCTCAACATAGTTGAGGTATATTTTACTTCACTTTTTATTATATTTTATTAGTATGATCTTTACGGTTTTGTCACAACCGTAAAAAAGTGTTATAAACACAAAGCTTAACAAATATATTTTTGTGATTACTAACATAATACCTAGACTTTAATGAGATCTTTTAGTTTCCAAGGCATTGTCATAACCATAAATATATGTTTCTATACACTAAGTAACGTCCTCGTATAGTAATAATTCAACATCTTATAGTTTCTGCCTTAATTAAATGCAATACCTATATATCTATAAGTATAAGTAACAGAAATAAAATATAATAATCTTCTTCTATCTATCTTCTATCTTCTTCTTACACTTTGTGTTCGGTGATCAAATTCACCGAATCATTATTAACCGGTAAATTATACAAAAATTCCCTTCTACTTTCAGGCATATAGGCTTTCGCGTTTAGAATAAAAAATGATTAGAAATTAATAATTATATTATTTATGTAGTTATGAAACTTCACATGTTATATCGTAACAAAAAATAAGTAATATTGACAAATTTTGTTAACACGTTCGCTGCGGCACAAGGCTTATAGGCCTGATACATGAACTTGCGGTCGGTGCGGAGCGAAAATACAGCGTTCTCCCTCTGGTGCGAACGCAGTAACTTAAAGATTTCTCTATAAGTGATAAAGACAAGTATATATTTAAGATCGTCTTTTCAATGGCTATTCATTTAAATAATAATATTTGTATCAGGCCTATCGACCTTATACCGCACTGGAGAGTAAAAATTGATATTCAGTGCGGATACAAGGCCCATAGGCCTTATGGGAAGTACAATGCCTATCTGCCTAATACCGCACTGATTGAAGAGTCAAAATTAATTAGTGTTGTGTTGACAGCTTTTACAAATGCATGTGCGTACGATTCATAAAAAATGCATCGAGTCAATAAACGTTGTCGAAAAATGCTCGACCTGTCTTTTCAAAATGCTCAAGAAGTGGTGGACCAAAATAACAGTGCCAGTTTACAAGAAAAAAAAAACAAATTCAAATCCTTCAGGATGTTATTGTTAAGCCAGCTTTTACAAGCAGTGAAACTACAACTTTTCAAGAACCTCGCTGATGATAGTTATGCTCCCAACTCGTCTGACCTAGAAACTGATTCTTCTTACTCCGACGATAGTGATAGTGATGATAGCGTAATAACTTACTATGAAAACAGTTCTGAAACCGAATTAGTTCAAATACTTGAAAATACTCAATGTACAGAAAACAATAATTTTGACGAGTGGGAAGACATTAACGATACAAAACTTGATTTCGATGAATTCACAGATAATTGTAGACCAAACATTCCGGATAATACTATAACGCCAGCAGATTTTTACAGTCTATTTGTAACGGATGAAATTATTGAGCAAATGGTAATAAACACAAACAATTGCGCACAAGATCTTATTAGTAATCTAAGTAATCTTAAGCCTAAATCACGCTTGCGAGCCTGGACTCCTACAACTCCAGAGGAGATGAAAAAATTTTTAGGAGTGCTACTGGCGATGGGTCTTGTAAGAATACCACGTTTAAATGATTACTGGTCGAAAAGAAACATCTACAATAATAAATACATTAGTTCAGTTATGACAAGAGATCGATTTCTGCTAATTTTGATATTTTGGCATTTTAGTCAAGAGTCACCTAACGACACAGACAAATTGAAAAAGATAAGGGATACTTTTAATAAGATTTTAGAAAAAAATGCAAACCCTTTTGGAGCCAGGTCGGTATCTTATCATAGATGAAAGTATGATTACGTGGCGAGGGAGGTTGAAATTTCGCCAATACGTTAAAAACAAGTCCCACAAATATGGAGTGAAACTATATAAGCTCTGCACTCCAGAAGGATACACAAGAAACTGTATTATATATACAGGTAAAGGAGATAATGGTCGAGAAACTAATCATGGAAAGGAAACAGTATTAAGATTAATAAAAGGATTAGAAAATAATGGAAGAATAATAATAACAGATAATTTCTACAATTCCATTGATCTTGCGGAAGAACTTATACGTAAAAAGACCTTCATGTGTGGTACTCTGAGACCAAATCGGAAAGGAAATCCTAAGAAAATAATATCCATAAAATTGAAACGAGGTCAAATAGTAGGAAAAATGAACCCAAATGGGGTAAGAGTTATAAAGTGGACAGATAAGAGACTGGTTCATATGATTTCTACGTGCCGAAATCACAATTTGACTCTTAAATTTACAGGTACGTATTATATATGTGTCATTTTAGATAAGGATGTTAGTTTATTTTTTCTGTTTTATATATTTATTATATAGAAGTATTATTTTATAATATAGAAGTAACATTACAGTTGGCACTAAAGCATTATAACTAGCTATTTACATAATTATTTAAATGAAAAAATTAAAAATACATATGACGCAAAAATAAACACAAAATATAACTAGGTAAAAAATTGAGAAATTAGGAGTATTTTTTTATAAATAAACTAGTATCCGCCCGCGATAAAATCTACAAATTTTGAGAAATTTAATTTGAATAAATTTATAGATACACTGTATCTACCAATATTTTAACTTGTATTTATCTCATTTTCAGGTAAGACGAACCGAATCACTGGAAACATAATTAAAAAACCACAATGCGTCATAACATACAATGAGAATAAAAAAGGCATCGATTTTAACGACCAAATGTCTTCATATTATTCTAGCTTGAAAAGAGGCGTGAAATGGTTCAGAAAAGTAATGATGGAGATATTATTTGGAACAGTCATAATAAACAGCTGGGTATTATACAATCACGGAAAACCAGTTCAAATGCCAAAGAAGAATTTTATGGAAGCAATTATTGAAGCTTTGACTCAGGTGCCGATATTAACAGAAACAGGTAATATATTTTTCCGTAATATTTAGCACTAGGTAAAGATATTCTGTCTGAGAAAAAAAATAACTAAAAATGATAATAAAATACTTAACTGTAATTTAATACTGATACAATAACCTTATATTTTATTCTCGGAGCAAGCTAGTTTTTATTAGTTGTTAAGTTTTAAGATAAAGTTAGCTTTAAAATAGCAACAATCTCACACGGCGTTTCCTCTCTTGGTTTATTATTTAATTTGTTTCTTTTATTACAGCTAATGAATGTGCTGCTATGCCAAAGACGAATCATACCTTCGAAACCAAAGGAATAAAAGGAAGAAACTGTGCGAGTTGTTACAATAAGCTTCGTGCAACGTTAAATAGCAAAGATGCTCAAAGAAAAACCAAAAAAATTAAATCGTATTGCGCTGATTGCAACAAGGGATATTGCGCTAAATGTTTTTACGAAAATCATCTATAACAGAAAACAGTTAATAATAAAATAAAGTTGATCTCGATATTTCTGTACTTATGTTATTTCCCATCACTAAAATTATCCCAATTATACCATTGCCTAGGTGCGGTAATGGGTCGATAAGCCTTATGTTTGTTTTTCTGTATATTTTCTAAATTAGCCATCGGAGCAATTTGCGACGCTAGTATAAGATAGGCTTACATTTTCTCAATAACCTAGTTAAAAAAAATATTCAATATCAAAAGTTTTCGCAGAGTTATTAGAGTTTGAAGTGACCAATATCTTACCAGGTTTATTGACCCATTGACGCACCGGTGAAAAGTTTAGGTATAAGGCCTATAGACCTGGTAACGCACTGGGGGAATAATGTCTAAAATAGTTGCCGCAGCGAATGTGTTAACACATAGTAACAATAATAAAAAAAATTACTTATTTCTATTTTGTGATCTATCAAAGCTGATGTAGAGATATTCACCAATTTAGTATTACTAGGTATTATAAATAACTATCCAATAACATCCACCCTCTATCAAAATAAGTACAATGAAATTCACAACTTTACTAGAGAAGTATCAAAATATTATACAATATATGTATTTAGGCACAAATAATCATTAAATTTAATTACATAATTGAAGAATTGGAGTGTAAATCGTAGGTAGTTCGATAAAATATAATATTAATCAATATTACTGGGCTATCCGCAAGTAAATAAAACACTATACATTAATAAAATAACATTATGACGAAAACCTGGCCGTTAAAATGCACAGAAAGTATTAAAATCTTCTTCGCTCTCGTAACAATCTCGTGCTCCATACTCCCTCTCACCGTACTGGTTTCCTCTCAAACTCTTTCGTTGTTACAGCTGTAAGACTCTGGAATGCGCTTCCCCTAGCAATAAGAAAATCCCCCAACAAGTGGATTTTTAAAACAAAGGTAAAGGAACATTATTTGGGTTCATCTGACACATAAATATATAAATAATCTATAGCATTTAATCTATTATATCTATTGTATATGTTTGTATGGTATATGTATATATGTATGTGTATGGGTATGCATGTATATATATGTATATATAATTAAGTTTGAGCTATGAGTATATGTGTGTGTGATGTTGTGTGTGTGTGTGTGGGGGGGGGGTATGTGAAATTTATCAATTTTAGGTTTCATCTTAGCCCACTGCAGTACACACATCTCCCACTAACTTTCCGGTTGGCTGGCTTGGTTTAGTACAATAAAGTGTAAAAATAAATAAAAATAAATAAATAAAACAGCATTAAGATTTCTTATATTTACGCGAACACTACACATTGAAATAGTACTAGTTTTTACGGAATTTATCGCGTATATATAACTACAGCACTCATGGTCACGGGCGGGACTCAGAGGGAGTCCCGCCCGTGACCATAGCTAACTAATTTGTTAGGATATGTCGGTGACTCTGGTTATCCTCATTTTTAAGATTATCATGCAGAGAAAAACTGAACATAACCCTCTCCATAGCTCGCTTAGTGATCTGGAGCTGTGAAGGACCACGTCTCAGATCCATAAGTCATTACCAAAGTTTTGAGGTATACCTGACAAAATGTGTCTTAATCTCCCGAACACTGCCCAGCCGAGATGAATTCGTCGATTCACCTCTCACTCGAAGTTGAACTTACCTAGTCGGACTACTTGTCCTTGGTAAACATACTTGTCAACAATTTCGAATGTAGTGCTCTCAACAACTACTGGCATAGGTGTGACAGGGACCTTACACATAAACTTTGTTTTGTCCATGTTTATCTTAAGACCTATCCTTTGGGAGACACTATTGAGGTTATTGATCATATAGCTTAGGTCCACTAGCGATTCTGAGATAAGGACTACATTGTCAGTAAATCGTAGGTGAGTGATGTTACTCGCCATTTTTGGTAATACCGTATCATTTCCAGTCCAGTAGCTTGAAAACGTCTTTCAGGGATATAACGTTACCCTGTCTTACACCTTTTTGCAATTGGATGGGTTTCGTACTCTGGTTCTGTACTCCAATAGCCATCGTAGCCTTACTTCGCACTTCATTCAGCACTTCGATAAAACAACAGACAACTTGGCACCGCTGAAGGGACTGAAGCATCGCCCATATTTTGACGGAATCAATGGCTTTCTCACAGTCCACAATCGCAAGGCGAATTAGTAGATTGACTCTTCGGTCTTATATACAATTTGCCGAAAGTTATGAATATGATCAGTGGTACTAAAGCCTTTTAGAAAACAGTTCGAGAGGCTGCAACTTGTCAAGTCTGCGTGCGAGACGATTCGTAATGACTCACCCTGTTGCATAACGATTATTCACACTGTAATTTAAAAAGCAAATTTCATAATTAGCCACCAAATAGGAGGTAGATAAGTAAAACACAGACTGAATCGAGCCCTACATAACTAACTACAAAATATGTGTATTTTTGTTTCCTAGTTTTTACTTTTAGTAATTTAATTATCGTGTAGTGATGGCGTATGAGAATCCACTACACCACATTATCTCGTAAATGTTGAAGAGGCGACAAAAAAAATGTTGGAAGCAGCATCTTCCTGAAGTCATAACATTATAATATCGCAATCAATATCACTAAGTCCTATATCAAGTCTTCAAGTCGTACAGATCGCAGATCATAGATTGCCTTCTAGTGGGTGACCCCACCTAACCTAATCTAACACTGGTCTTGCCAGTACGAGACTGCCATTCACTCGAGAACCTCTCTTCGCCATTATTGTCATTTCTTCACCCTCATAAATAAAATAAAAAAACAGCTACTATTGCAAACAACTAAGGCAAATATCCCTACAAGGGAATAATCTATGGCAAATAGCGCACTACTAAATATAATATAAAGAGAAGGCTTATGCGTAGCAGTGAACCTTTTATGACCGAATGAATGAATGATGAATTTAATTGCGGCCTTTAATCATACGCGGCCCCGTTATGGCTTTTTTATGTTCGCTGCATCCTTACCACCAAGTCGTCATGTTAAAATTTATTGCTAAATCTTACTCTATTTTTATTGCATATCAAATTAATGTCTTAACATATTTCGAGCGACGAAGGTAACTGCTGTTAGCCGACAAACCCAAAAATAGAAAGTTTATAATCGGATGCGTCGGGTTTTTTTTTTTACAATGTTTTAGGCAATTTAATTTTGAGATTTGTTAGTAATAATACCGTAGTGTATTTTCCGACAACCGCCGATCACTATAACCTCGTCCGATTAGTAGAGTACCGCAAGCAGGTGATGTCATCATCCTTCGTCAATTACCTCAAAATAAGCTATTTTACAAAGCTAATATTAAAAAAAAAACTTTTGTTATAATTACTTCGTTGCAATTTCGTAATCCTTAACTCCGTATCTAATTAGAATAATGTTGTAACAAAATTAATTTACAGTTAGTTTGGAAGGACAGACCGAACTCGTGATGAGTAACAAAGCAAAACACGCATCGTTGATCTCAACCACCGCAAGCGGAGTTTTAAACGACTACAGTGATACTGACGCTCCTTAAACTTTTATGTAGAATCATTCTAAATACCTCGTAGAAGTTGTGTCGTAAAGTTTTATTAAATGAAAGTGAAGTGACAAACAACTTCAGCACACTTGATGGTAAGTGGCTACTACAGCTCATAGAAACCTGCTAACGGAATCTCATGGTATCTGTTGCCTCGATATGGGGTAGTTGATATTTTTACACCACCGCTATATGGTCAGATCTTCAGACCATGATCGTGTAAGAATATCCACTATCCCATATTATCTCGTGCTAGTCAAAGGAGGCGACGTAATTAAAATGAAATAAATTTAATTTGAAACAACCGTGTGGGAGTGTCCTTAGAGAATCCGAAACCGCATATCATCCCATTGGTGTTTAAGAAGATCCGTCTTATATTACCTGAATTTTATATTAAATTAACTAGCAATTTCTTGTATTTACGCGAACACTACACATTAATTAAAACTACTTTTACGGATTTTATCGCGTATAAGGAGACGGTTCAAAATTGTATGAAGCGAATGCCTGGTTTTGTACAAGTAGGGAAATAAATGTATGTTCATGGCATGGGCATATGGCAAGGCATACTGGCATGTTCTGGTAACTGATACAGAAAATATTTAAGTGAAGGTAACTTGTTATGAACAACATATTTAAAAACTAAAACTATACAAATGAACCATTGACCATAAACGGCGATAGTCTTAGTGAATTAATATATGACACATCTTGGTAGGTATATTATTATATCAGTATATGTATCGTCTTAGAGATTAAGACCTTTTCGATGAAATTAAAATTGCGTACCGGACTGGGTTCAATCCCTGCCATGCACTTCTTACTTTTCTTTGCGTTCTATGTGTGTTTTAAGCAATTATATATATTTACTTTAATAAAAACATAGAGGAAAACCTACACACGTAAGCATTCTCAATGCAGGTCTTAAATGTGTGTGTAGCTTGCCAAGCTTAACCCATTCACTTTCTGAGAAGAGACCTATGCCCAGTAGTGGACAGGCGATGGTTTAATAATGTACAATGAAAATGTGAACCAATGATACTATATACAAACAAGCTACTTAACTCAAAACTGTTCAAGTAAAATAATTATCAGAATGTTTGTATAAGATCTAGAAAACACGATATTTAATTACCACAATGGGATAAAACATTTGTGCCACTATATCCCTTTCAGGGATATCATGTAAAAATCAAACGTGCCTTTGGAATAAAGACATTTTCACAACACACAGTCAGCTTCATAATATTGATATGAAGGTCCTGGATTTTACTGTCCTTCCTCAACATTAGTAGCTCTTTGCACATTTTTGCAACCCAGCATGCATAACAGATGAATCCGCCAGGAGGAATCTGTAGGGGATTATAAAGAATATTTTAAATGATTAATTATATATAAATGCACATTACAGCATTCATTACTTTAGATTTTAATTTCAAACATAACCTATGTTTGACGCT